ACCCAAACCCAAACCCAAACCCAAACCCAAACCCAAACCCAAACCCAAACCCAAACCCAAACCCAAACCCAAACCCAAACCCAAACCCAAACCCAAACCCAAACCCAAACCCAAACCCAAACCCCAAACCCAAACCCAAACCCAAACCCAAACCCAAACCCAAACCCAAACCCAAACCCAAACCCAAACCCAAACCCAAACCCAAACCCAAACCCAAACCCAAACCCAAACCCAAACCCAAACCCAAACCCAAACCCAAACCCAAACCCAAACCCAAACCCAAACCCAAACCCAAACCCAAACCCAAACCCAAACCCAAACCCAAACCCAAACCCAAACCCAAACCCAAACCCAAACCCAAACCCAAACCCAAACCCAAACCCAAACCCAAACCCAAACCCAAACCCAAACCCAAACCCAAACCCAAACCCAAACCCAAACCCAACCCAAACCCAAGCAAGAATCAATACCAATTCAATATTATCGTGTAATAATCATCAAATACTGCCATAGAATCAATTTTAGAATGATTTCAATATCATCTTAGATAGTTATCATAGGGCAAAGTCACTACCTTAGTGAACTACCCATGTCATTAAGAAATATCAAAATTGTAATATTTCACTCATATATTCATATATACATCAAATAGAGTCTATAATATCAGTTTCATGATATATAATCAATAACTGGTATTATGACAATATTTCAATTGAGATTAGACATTGCAACATTTCCCAAATTGGAAATATAGAATATAAAATCATGAAACCAATTATTTATCGATAAAATGCATAGATATACGATATTATCAAATAAAATATATAGGTCCCTATTGAAAGTGTTTACCTGGTAAAAAGTGAGCGTAACTTCCGCTACTTTCATCCTAATTGGTTATCTCCCTATATATATGATAGATTTCAATTATTTCAATTATATATCATAAAACATGATAATTAGACATGTATACATGAGTGGAATTAAGTCATGTAAGATATTCATCCTTCAATAACCGATATTATCATTTTCACACAAGTTGACTTCCTACAGTCTGTATGTGGATCCAATAATGATTATTTCAATTATATATGATTATAATTGATATTTTCTACTATAATAATGAGTTTGATTGAATGTTATAGTATTTCCATAGTATGGCTCAATATCTTGGTCAATTAAGGTAGAATGAGTACAGTATACTAAGGATATTATATATTATACTTCCAACATTTCTACATGGT